GGAGGAAAGCTATGGCAAATCTAGACAGCTTACTAAAAAGCAGAGACATCACCCTGCCAACAAAAGTGCGTATAGTCAAGGCTATGGTTTTCCCAGTTGCAATGTATGGCTGTGAAAGCTGGACCATAAGGAAGGCTGAGTGCCAAAGGACTGAGGCCTTTGAATTGTGGTGCAGGAGGAGACTCCTGCGAGTCCCTTGGACCACAAGGCAATCAAACCTGTCAGTCCTAGAGGAGATCAACCCTGACTGCTCTTTAGAAGGCCAGATACTGAAGATAAAACTCAAATACTTTGGCGACCTAATGAGAAGGAAGGACTACCTGGAGAAGAGCCTGATGCTGGGAACAACAGATGGCAAAAGAAGAAGGGGATGCCAGAGGATGAGGTGGCTAGATGGAGTCACTGAAGCAGTTGGTGTGAACTTAAGTGGACTCTGGGGGATGGTGGAGGACAGGAAGGCCTGGAGGAATGTTGTCCATGGGGTCATGATGGGTCAGACACAACTTCGCGACTAACAACAACATCAAACTTTCAAGGAGCAAAACCACCACTATATTAGAAACCATTAGAAATTGAAGCACATCTCTCCACCATCTGCCTAAATTTACAAGCAACAATACCAGACAAGGTATTTCACGATCAGGCAGCTGCCACAGAAAAGGTTATGTTTCATGTTGCCATCAGCCTAGTCATTTCTGGTGGTGTGACAGAGCCCCTTCAAAGGTAAATGTAAATGACTGGCAGGTTCATATGAAAAGAGACAGTCTTTCAGATCTAACCTGGCCACAAACCACTTCCAGGTAAGAACCAGACCATTAAAACAAGCAGGAAATTAGTGCAATTGATGCAAATTGAAATCAATGCAACAAACTAGAAGCCAGTGTATTATGGTCTATAATACATAAAAAGCAACCTGGTTGCATGCTGCAGTTATCTACAGATTCCAGAATTAAGATATGGATCAGTATGACCAAATCTGCCTTCTTCAGGAAGAGAGCACAACTTGGCAAAGGGAGCTCCGGCCCAAGCAGCCACCTAAGCATCCAGGTACGATGCCAAAACTAGAAATACCCCAAAACTGCCAGCCTGTTCTTACAGAGGAAGTGCAACCCTATCCAGAACAAGCTGTATGCACAATCCCAGATTGGCTTTACTGCCAACCATCAAATCCTCCTTCTTGTCTGGGCTGAGCCTTAACTCGCTAGCCCACATCCAGGCAGCAGTTTGTGGTTTTCACAACCTCCTTGGCATCAGCTGAGTGAAAAAGAGGAAGACATCTGGGCATCATCAGCATGAAAACTCAGAATGACACCTCCTAACAGCTTCAGGCAGTTGTTAGAGCACAAAGGAGCTAATACTGAGCCCAGAGGAACCCTGGCCAATGATTGAGGAACAATTCTACATCGCCACCTTCTGGGAACATCCAGCTAAATAGGACCTGACCCCCACCTCAGAAAAATAAAAACCCACTCATTCAATGTTAGTCAAACAACCTAGAGGGATACCAGGGTCGATGATAATGAACACTGCTGAGGAGACAAGAACAAACAATAAGGATACACTGGAGTGGGTCATCCACCAAGGCAATCAAGGATGTTTTGGTCCACAAATCAGGGGACCACAAATATGTTTCACAGTCCCAGATTTTTATAGATATCTTTGCTGACTAGCCATTATTAAATAATCATTACAATGCAGTGCTCACATTTGTTGCAATTGGAACAATGCAGCAACCATCTCCTTGTATTTTCTGAATTATAGTGGTGCCAGTAATGGCATTCTAAGGCCAGGAAGATCTGTGCATAACAGACAAACCACATTGCACACACAAGTGATACAATTACATTTCAAAAGCTGCCGCTTCTAATGAAGAACTCAAATATTTAAAGGAATAATTTAAACTGAAAACTCCCTTCGGTAAATACTTTCCTCTCATTTTAAACTGATGTAATGATGTGAGTTCAGGCTTTTTTGCATATCTAGAAATCAGAGTTATTACCATGGAAGCAGGCCGTCCTGGCACTGAAACAGGTGGAACTGAAGAGCGTAAGGCAGGAGCAGGCATGCTTGCTGGTGGTGGGGCTAAGGGCACTCTAGGTTGTGGTGGAGGTAAAGAAACAGTTGGCTTTGCTTCAGATTTTCCCTTCTGAGCTAAAAGTTTGAGGGCATCCCTGTAATTTAAAAGATGAATAAAAAAGTTTTAGATATACTTCTGATCCATAAAATGCAAATGAATGAATTAACAAACACACAAAACATCCAGCTCCAAATGAAATTAAAGTTACTGTAGATTAGGCATATTTTCTTATTTACCAAGCAGTTTATGCACATTCCCATGCCTATTGTTAACAATGTGTTTATTCTACACCGCATCAAAAAATCCATATTCAAATGCAATAGGATGGAGGTCAGGGAAAGATGAGAAATTCTCTCCCATTCCACTTGTTTTTTTCTTCTTGGTTCTAGCATGCATTAGATGCTGCTTAATAAAACATTTCCCAAAGGCTACTGAATGGTTTCATGATCTCACATAATATGTACTAAACTGGCACCTAAAGTTATCCATTTCCAACCCTTGGAATAAGTTACTGGAAACCTACCTTACATGCTTAAGATGAGCCAAACCCCTGTGGGGTTTCCGGCACATTAAAAAAAAAAAAGCTGGGAAGGAACACACTATGCACAGGGAATGTATCTTATGTATCTTCTACATAAGAAGTGTAGGAAGTAGGTTAAGAGGCAGGGCTGAGGCAAACAGAACACTTCTATCTCCTTTTCTATCCTGAAACCAGCTCTAAGTTTCTCAGCATGCACAGCCAATATTATGCAGGATGTATCACATTTTATTCCAACAGAATTATTATGAGCTTGGCATGTGCACCATGGCAACACTTAGGATAATTGATGGTGTCCTATCCATACTTATATGCCAAACAAAATACATCCAGGGAACACTAAAAGCTTTTGAAAAGGTACTGATGTACAGTTGGCTTGGGAATTGGGACTGACCTATTCTGGAGAAACTTCCCTCTAGAACAGGGGCAGCCAGACTTGCTCAATGGAAGAGCCACATAAGGTAAATGTCAGGTGTTTGAGAGCTACAAGTGGGCACCCGCAGGTGTCAGGCTGCAAACAGGTGCTGGCTGTGGGCAGCAAGAGGCAAGCGGGCACCTGCAGGCACTGGCTGTGGGGGGCAAGCCGTAAGCCATAAAATAAACTCAAAAAGCCACATGCAGCTCCTGGGCCTTAGTTTGTCCACCCCTGTTCTATAACTACAGTTAAGCAAATCTGAGCATTTACCTTAATTGTAGTTCATGCCAATGTATTCTGGAGAATTGAGGACAGTACACATTTCCCAAGGCTGGCTTCCAGTTTCTAAATTACCCTTATCACCAAGGCCACCGCTCACTGTGACAGAATCCATGGTTTGTCTGAAGAAAGTCCCAGATATGACCCCTGGCATCTCCAGGTTTCTCCCTGGGAAGAAACCCTATCTAAAGCACTGCTAGACACTGTTGACAATACTGGGCTCCATGGATGAATCAGCTGACTCAGCAAAGGCAGTGCTCTATGTCCCTATGTCTGTAATGGTGTTATGATGTCCAGAACAATTGTAAATACCTTGTTCTTTTAAATATCATTTTACCTTAATTTGACTATGACAATGAACACACAGAAAAAAAATAATTGCCACAAGTTGTGGTGATTGCCACTGCACTGATGGCTTTTGGGTGTTTTCCATATTGATTCACTGGGAATGTACCTATCAATAGTTATCAGTACTGACACAAAATGGAATCTCAGCATTCAAAAACAATAGCTCCTTGCATATCAATTGCCAAAGACAAATAGGAGTACCCTGTTGCTAGCTGAGGATGGAAACAGATTGCTAGATTAGATGGACTTTTTCTAATCTAATAACATGTATAAGGCTGCCTTAGTATAAGGCACTGCTTTCTTATTTAGCCGTGCAGACCTCCTTTCAAGACTTTCAGACTTCCTTAGAAATCAAAGAAAGCATAAAAGTTATACTTGGGTAATCTGGAAATGTAAACACAACTTTATTCTAAATTATGCAACTATATTTTGGTAGGTACAAAACAAAAAAGAAACCAAAATTATCATTAGTATGTTCATATTATGAGATGATGGTCATTTGAATGAGTGATAAGGTAGCTACATATTTTTACAATCTTCAGTTTCTTAATTTAGACAGCAATCTCTATAATGTGCAGAAAGAATGAAAAGTTTAAAAAACCTATTAGAATTTTATCATGTTACCCATATTATTAATAGTATTTTTTATCGGCAGATATTTGAAAGTTGTGGGTTGAAGTTTTCACATTCATTTTTATATGGTAAAATACCATCATCAAGTCTTTCAGTTTCCATGACCTCAGAATATGTAATATCTTCAAAGAACTATATAAAAATTTTGTAACAGTAATAAATAATAACAGGGTTAAACAGGACAAGCCATTTGTCAGCCACAAAGATGCTTAAGCGTACTGAAAATTACATATACTGCATATACATCTTCTTTTAGATGCCACTGAGCCCCATAAAATTTAATTGCTTCCCCTACGTCCTGCACAGATAATATATGGCTGCTAGTTATGAATGAATTTATTTGTGACTAGGAGCGCTTTAGTTAATAATTATGGAAGCCGACTTGGTCCATTAAAATCAATACAGGTTTTGCCACTGATTTCAATGAAGTATGTACACCAGCCATAAATAACATCAAATGTGGTATGCAAGCTTCATTTTTTTTTCAATCCTGAAATTTAAGTCTTACTTTTATTGTGTCTTTAATCAGATATTCACAAAACATACTGCATACAGTTAATTTATATAAAAATATTACTACAGTATATTGTGGATAGGTCTTCCTTGTCAATGGAAAAAATAGCACAATATGTTAGATATGTAACATATGTAACATATCGTTACATATGTTATGTATTGTTACATATGTAACAAAATGTAACATATCGTTCATGTAACAGGATATGTTAGACACAAGAAACACACAATGTGGGTTTCAATGTTTCTTATTTAAATTTGTATCCTGGATTTTCACTAAGAATACTATTTAAGGCAGTTTCCAGTTTAGGAGGCTTCCAGGGAATCTTTGTTTACAATATACATAAGGCATACGGATGATTCTGTGCCATTGTGCAAGACTGAATCACTTTCCCAGATATGGTCAAAGCACATATCACCAAATCAAAATAAAACCCAGTATTACTAAAACCATCAAAAATAGGCACATTAGTAAGTACTGTACATTTACTTAAAGATACACATTTGGCATACAATCCAGATCCTTTCCAAAAACATACAAATTTTGCAAACTATATCATGAGAAGTAAAACTTCATCTTTGCGGTAAGATGCCATAGCCTATAACTCAGTTTCATTTAAAAGAAAAAATTGTGTATTACTGCCACCTGCAGTTTTGCAAACACTCGCACTGGGAATTATCTATCAGGACACTGCCAGTAGGATTAGCAAAATGTTACAAGGCTTTTCATTATAAACATATATGGAGAGAAGCAGAATTCAGGAATGCAGCTTACTAGACTGAGCTGCATGTTCAATGAATTTAAAGGAGTGTAACAGTGAAGAAAATAGCTAACTGTTTTCCTTCCCAGCTTTAAAGTCATTTAGGGTGAGTGTAGAAGTAGCACAGCTACGACATCACACTTGCTATATGAGAGCCACAGTCAGTGCAGAAAGCCCTTTGTCAGATGCAAGGGTGAGGGGATAGTGCTCCACAGTCAGAGTCCCAGCTCCAGCTTAGGACCCCAACCTATCCTCTGGCCTTCCAGACAGCATTTAGCAGATACAGCATTGTATCCTTAGTGTGGAAGAAACTGTGGCCTTGTCCATTAATCAGAAAGCCACAGGTCCTGATCGTCTTCTAAAAGTACATAAGAAAGCACTGTGAGCAAAACTCAGAATACAGTAGTTTCCGCTTGGGTGCCAATTGAGGGCATAATCCTATGCTTGTTTGGCCAGAAAAATGTCCTACAACCCCCAGTATTCCCCAGCTAATCAAACAGACCTCTGCAAACAATGCATTTAAATATGCTGCTACTTAACTTCTGTATCCCCGTGAACACTAATGCAAACCTATAGTAAGGCCTGGGAGAAGGGGAATGACAGGTCTCCCCTCATATCCAGCTATGGTGTGCTGGCCTGGTGAGAACATGCTGAGCAGCATCATTTTGCAGATCATTATATTTTCGATTCCCTGACTCCCATCAGGAGAAGTGAGGATGAGGGGATATTCACTAAGCAGCTCCGCACTGGAATAGGCAACAGACCCGCATCAGAACTGTAGAATAAAGCAGCTTTGAAAGTATGCCAGCTCCCAGAATCCCTAAAAAGGATACTGCAGCTGAGCACACTGATAATGGCAGGTTTCTCTCTACTGATCTCTTGGGAGGCACAGTGGGAGCTCCCAATGTGGTGGGTGTCTCTGCAGAGGAACCTCTGTCATAACGTAATTCCCTTCATCAGGCAAATAAAGGGGTTATGAATTCCCTATCACTTTGCTTTCACCTTTACTGTACAGTATGCATTTTTCCAATCAACAGTGAATTCAAAGAAGTTTATCCAAACAGAAATACTGAACTAAAAATATTTATAAACACATTAAAAATGACCATGTCCCTCTTTTTACCAGTATAGTAATTTCATAGTTATGATTAAACAAAAAGCTGCTGCTGTTGTTTTTTTAATGGAAAAATCCAGACCAGTTTTTTGCTAGAAGTATAAATGCAGAATTTTCAGAAATTCTGAAGTCATGGTGGGGAAATGGTTTGCTTCCATAAGGAAAAAAATATTTGGTGAAAATTTGATAAATGTGTAATATTTTACTTTAGCATTCTATAAAAATCTAAGCTCAGTTTTAATTTATGAACATAAACTATATTACTTGGAATGTAAATGATAATAAAATCTGTATTTGATTTAAAAATGTTAAATAGTACATTTAGTAAATTTATAATTATCATAAGAAAACTTTTAAATGACTTGATTGGTTTTATGAGCTATTCACGTTATTCATAATACATTTTAAGCTACTGAAATGTCTAACCAGAAGGAGTTTCAGAATCATTCTAAAAAGCAGCAGGAGGAGGAAAAACCAGACTCCATCCACTATCTGCTCCTGCTTGCAAAGAATGGAGGGAAATCTGGTCTGAAGGTAAAGTTATTGAGAGCATGTGTAATTGGGGGAAATTCTTTAGCTATCTAGAATGGTTAATTTAGCACATTTAATTCAAGAACCTTTAAGCAATCCCAGTGAATTCCTTTTAAAAACATTTTTTCTTCATTTTGTTTGGTAGAAAGAAACTTTATACTAGCAGTGTTAATGCTACAGGAAACAAATTATGAGTGTGGTGTAAAGAGGGATTATGTGAGGGCAACAAATTTAAGGTTTTATAACTTAAGCAGCATTTCCTGACAATGAGGTAGATATGGAAAATTGATTAAAGAGTGGCGTTAAGTTCCATAGACCCATGTCTTCAAGTTGTTTTAAGCATAGGTGGGATAACCCACACATTCTTCAATAATGTGTGGTGGGAGCAATAGGCTAATGTGCAGTGCCCCCCCGCCACCCACCCCATGAGAATTCCAGAACTATATGCATTGACTTTAAGAGACCAAAACATAACTTTGTACAACAAAACCCAGACAAATATGCACATTGTTTTTGTATATCATGATGTGGCAACTCTAATTACATACTGGGAAATTAAACATAACTTGGACCATGTCTATCAGGAAAAGACATAACAGATACATTATCTTAAGAAGGGATGGAAGAAATAACTGAGCTGAGAAAATAAAAAAATTTTGGCCATGCTTCTACATCTTTAAACTTTCAGTAATAGCTTAGTAATCATTTTGAGGGAATAAAAGCTAGGCAGCAGTATATGAATGCCTTATCTTAAACATCTTGTCCATTCTTTATTATTTTCAATATTTTCAATCCAAAAAAGTTACCAGTTTTCCATGTGTTTGAAAAAAGAAAAAATTTCCCCCAAATTTGTCCTTTTTTCTTCCAGGCTTTCACATCTTTAGTAAAAAAAAGTGGTAATAAGGGAAGGTATGTGTGCCTCTGTGCGGGTTTATATTCATCTGCCAAAGGCATTTCCATTTCCATGACTACTAGGAAAAGTTAATTAGATATCTTTGTGACCTAGAGGCTTCCCACCTGCCATGAACTAGTTACATACCATAAATTACAGTTACACTTACATAATTACTAAGCTTCCTGATAATGAGCTGCAATTACAAAACATGTAACATCTACATAGCTCACTGTTCAGTTTAAATCAGGTCACAATCTGAACAAGTCAAAATCTGTGGTGCTTTTGTTTATTACACCATTTTAATTTAAGGCAGCAACATACCTGGAAAGCTTAAGAACTCATAAACTTTCTGTACCAAGAGATGCACAGTTTATTAAGGGCACAATCCTGTGGACTCTCAATATTATCTGAGGGGCCATAGGATTATTCAGAGCCCTAACACCAAGGTTGTGCAACATCAAAGCTGGGACTCCAAAGAGATTCTCCTACCCCACCACCTTGCAGCTAGCATGGAAATTGGCTTGAGAGAGAAAGGAAGGGGCATGCTGCAAGTCAGGGAAGGGAGGAGGCTGGGACCAATAGCTTTCTTCATATACAAATGATACACCAACCTCCTTCCAAAAGCAGCACATGCAGGGCATAAAGAACAGGACAGCAGAGACTGCCACCATCGTGTCATTGACGGGATGCACATAAGCCTCTTATTGTGGAAGTTTATGTGCACTTAGGGCTACAGTCTAAGAAAAACAAGAAAGATACAGCACTATCACCCATGTCCTAATGAAATCAGCACTGATTTCAATATCAGTGATGGCTCATGAAGTTTAAGATCAGATCTCTTGCGGCCTCAGAGTCTGTGATATGCACACGGAATTTCACCATTCATAAGCCCCTTCCCATGGAAGGAGAGGTGTTCTAAGAAATCTAGTAAAACTAGGTGAACAAGTGAATATCTCAGCTGCTTCTACAAATAGTATCAGAACCCAAATCCAAGCTCATTTCAAGACAGCCTTCTGACCAATGATGCAAGGACATGCACCTCTTCTTTTTCTGCTTCTCAAAAGAGGAGACACCTGATAGATCAGCAGGAAAAACATGGTACGTAGCCCAGGAGAGGACACTATCTCCAAATTCCTTTCATAGATCGCAAGCTCCTTCTCTGCTTCTCCACAAGGAGTCAGATGTTTACACAGAACAGAAGAATTAAAGGTGGCTCATTTCCTGGTTAGGAGGCCTTGTTTTCTGGTTCTCTGCACACCATTTTCCTCTATATAGAGCAGCAGAAATAAAAGAAGAGTCCTGTATTTCTGTAGTGGCTATGAAGACAGAACAGAATTTTCCTCTGTTGATAAGATGAAAAACAGCAAGCTGTCAAAGAAGGGGTAGTGAACATTGTCCTTTCTTTACCGGACCACTGTGAATCCACTCCTACTGCATGAACCTCTTATGAACCTCAAAGTCCCTCAGAGTGATTTCAAGGTTAAAGTGGGATCTTGGATCAAGGAACCTTTGTCTTCAGATTAAGAACTGGGATACCCACGCAGCACTAAATGGAGGCTTCACACTATGCATGAAAGAGATGGAAATGCCCCTTTATGGATAAGCGTTTTCATGAGAGAATTCTCTGTGTAGATCATAGCTTCCAAGGAGTTCAGATCATGAACATTACCTTACTAATTAAACCAGGGATTCTCAAGCTTTTTGGGCCAGTGGGCACCTTTGGAATTTCAGGGTAGTGTTACTGATATACTCACAGAATGGCCTTCGCACTAACAAAACAGCAGATATGGTGACTGTGGCCAGTCACAAAACAGCTATTTCCCAAAAGGCAAAGTAGGGAAGCTACAAGGAAAGTCACTTATTAAAAAAACTTACATGAAAGTCAAACGTGGAGGCTCAATTTCTTTTAAAATGTTAAATCTATACCACCCCGCCACACACACCCCAACCAAACATACAAAATCAGAACTGCAAAGCATCAAAGGAGGTGTCTACAGTGTCTACAGTGAAACTGATAACCATGGGCATCATTTTGGAGACCCAGAGTAGCATCCAATGCTGTTTATCTGCTTGTGGAACTGCTTGTAGACAGCTCCACTAATTCTATTCCACAAGTGGCCCTTGTTGCTTCTGAAATGACAATTTAGTTCTCTTAAGGGAAAGCTCCAAAACCAGTGGAAACATGTATTTTGGACAAGCTCCACCAACTTCCTACCCTTCAGAACTAAGCATTTCTGTTTACCTTGGGCTGCCCTAGAAGCACTAAATCACTATTAAATAGCAGCAGGAGCCAATTACAGAACATAAACACAGGACTCACAGCTTCTCTGGATCTTCTCTTAATGAAATTTATTTTGCCCTTTCAACAGGAGAGTCTAGTATAACCACTGACCCTGTATGCATAATTACCAGAATTTAAGCAATTCACAGTTTATTGCTAGGTTACCTGAGGGTTATTTTTCCCTAAAAAAAGCCATGATACCTGGGTTTGTACAACACTACAAGCCATACCCAGTTGGACAATTTGCAAATAGCACCCAGCATGAGTTGATAACACTATACCTATTTAATCACCACTCATCTTGCAACTAGGGCCTTCTTCTCTACCCATCTTCAAAATGTACTACCCTCAGACAAAGGCGATAACAGATGATACAAATTTAATTAGTTAAACAAATAAAATATCTCCATATTCTCCAAGTTGTCAGAACTTACTCTGCTGATGATCTGTCAATGCCACACTTCCTCACTCTGCTGCAATTTGTAAAAGTTCATGACAGGAACAAAGACAGGTGTAAGAGAAGCTGATATTCAGTCCTGTTCCTCCATTTTGGATATTCCTGCTGCTTGAAAGCACTTGCAGGAGCCACAGCCATATAACTATTCATTTTTGAAAGTGAACATTTGAAAACTTTCCCAAGGGTGGGCCTCATCTTAATTTCATGTAAATCCCATATCCATTAAAAGAGAACAGAAAATATAGCTATGTTATATCCTGTAGCTGCCTGGCAAGGCCTCAGCAGTTATAGGTAGCCTGTAAACTCATGTATGTATGTATGTATGTATGTATGTATAAATAGCTAGCTAGCTAGCTAGCTAGCTGAACTAACAATTCAAATACCTCAGTATCTAATAAATATTATAAAAATTCTAAGATAACAACTCATATCCATTTCTCACAAAAATTTAAGCAGGAAAAATAATTATTCAGAATATAACAAAGAAAGAGATGAACAGATAACATACTCCTTAGTGAAAATTCCTCGAGGACCTGAGGGTGTGAGCTGACTTGCATCAAGTCCATGTGTATCCAGAATATTGCGGGCAGCAGGACTTAAGCGAAACCTAAAGAAAAGGCACAGCTGTATTAGAAGGTCTTATATAAAAAGATGGCCAATATCAGCAAAGGACTTTAAATACCATACTGCCTATATCTGACTTGGATGGTAATTCATTCTACAGGATGTCAGAGAAATCCCCAAAAAATTCCAATGAGTTCAGTTTTATATGAATCGGAATCAGCATTATAGCTGCTGATCCTGCAGTGAGACAACTTTTTCTGAGTTGCATGGATTGTGCAGATGTGTAGATCAGTATTTTACTTTCCAGAATTTTATATGAATTTATCAAAATATGTGAAAAATAAATGCCAGTAAGAAATGCACATTACACTATGGGTAGTTTTCACTCGGGTTTTTACTTTTATTTTATTCTACTTTAAACTTTTACAGGTTTTATATTTTTTATCAAGTTGAATATTAGACAACTGATTTTTGTGAACCACCCAGAAAGCTTTGGCTATTGGATGATATAGAAATGTAACAGGTAAATAGCTATATGCTACAGACGCCCACATTTTCGTCCAGAAGCTGCGCAACATTACTCTTTTGGACGGCATGTGACCCTGCTGCCATATTACGCTTTAGCTATTGCTTTGCCATCTTGTTTAACAGAAATGGCAAAGATGCCAAGCGCCATCCTTATACACATTCCAGCGCAAGACCAAGATGTTTTAATCAAGGAGCATTCCAACTGTTGATTACTTTAATTGGAATTTGATTTAACTGGTATTTTAAAATATATTTTAGTATTCATAATCATGATGTTTTAAATTTTTTCAATTAGTTGTTTATTTTATTTATTTTTTGATTTATATCCTGCCTTTTTCCCACAAAGGGCTCAAGGCAGCTTATATCATTCTCCTCCATCTTATCCCCACAACAACAACCCTGTGAGGTAGGTTGGGCTGAGAGTGTATGACTGGCCCAAAGTCACCCAGTTGTTAAACTACTACTTAGTGATCCTGCTACGAGGGTGATGTTACCTTATTTTTATTATTTATTGATACTGTGGTTTTAATTGTTTATGAAGTTTTATGTTGTTAGTTTTATTATGCGAACTGTCTAGAGATCCATGTGGCTACAAGACATTATATAGAACTGCGAAATAAATAAATTGAATTTCACTTTCAAATTGTCTTGTTCTATAGGGCAGGAGTAATTTTTCTACCTAATTTTAAATCCAAGTGCAAAACATGGACTGGGAATCAGGAAGTCTTGGTTCTAGGCCAGAGTCAGCCATGAAGCTCACAGGGTGACTTCAGGCTCACAGACTCTCAGCCTAACCCACCTCTCAGTGTTGTTCTGAGGATAAAACGGAGAGAAGGAGAATTATGTAAGCTGCCTTTGGTTCCTTGTAGAAAAAAGGCAGAGTGTGCATGCACACTTGTGCACACATGCACAAACACTAAATTCCTATCAACAATTCTACCTCACAATTTTTATTTTACCAATTCTTATAAACTATTTCAGTGGCAGAGGTTAGGCTGAGAAATAATGGCTACCTTACAGTCATCCATGAGCTTTCACTGTAAAATATTAAAACCTGGATCACTCCTATTCCAATGATCTAACTTTTGTTCCATATACCGAGATGGAACAATGAATTTTAGGATAAGCTATATAGTACAATCCAACACTAAAACTTGTGGTTCAGAGAGTACTCAAGAAACTCACTGTAGTTTTCCAGGATGGTGTCCTAGTTGATGCACTGAAGCAGCAGCAGCCTCAGGGGTGGGAATAGGCGTGGCTGCTGCCGCTGCTGCTCCTACTGGCATAGCCAAGGAAGGTGCATCATCCACATCACTTGGAATTTCAACTTGCTTCCAGTCTTGTCCTTCTTCTACCAGCAAGCCAATTAGAGAACCCAAACGTACATTTTTACTTCCTTCTTCCTTCTAAAATGTAGGAAGGAAAAGTTAGGAGGTGGTATCATCATCATCATCATCATCATCATCGCATTTCTATACCGTCTACAGCCAAAGCTCTCTGGGTGATTCACAACATCCAGATTTCAACCAGGCCTAACCCCACTTAGCTTCCAAGATTAGGCAGGATCAGGGACTTCAGGCTATACAGAAGCTACGTACAATATAAAATGAAGAGCTGAAAACTTCAGACATATTTTAAATTTTAATATTTCATTTACTAAGGATGAAAAATTAAAATCAAGTCATGTCAAATCCATGGAACACGAGGCATATTTTGTTTAGCAAACCATGCAAACCCTTTACTCAGACCTCACACTATACAATTTGTGTTAATCGCTGCATGTTCCTCAAATTAGTTACTGAATTAACTATTTAAGCTGGAAGAAGTGGTAGCATGGATAAATTTAGAATAACCCTGTTTCATGCTGTAATCTTAAACATGTTTACTAAAGAGTTAATACTGCTGAGTTCATCAAATATTAAATTCAAGCAAACATGACTTCATCTGCATTGTCAGACATCCAAGTCAAGTCAATAAACCTAGAACAGGCCTAGTGAAAATTAAGTAATATTGGCTTGAAGGTGCCATACAAACTAGAACCACTGGGTGGGGGCAAGCTTGATCTCCAGCATTTCTATACCACCGACTGCAAATATAATAAACTCCAATTCGCATAAAGCACCAACCAGCATGGCCAATTATCAGAAATACCAGAACTGATGAGAAATATTGCAAAACATCTAGAAGGCACCAAAGTGGACTGACTCCCCTAGTTTATTGTTCCAAAGAACAGAAATAGCCAATGAGCATTACAGATTATTTGGCTGGCAGTGTGACAAACTCCTCTGCCTTTCTGAGACTTTCAAGTATTTATTATTTTGTCTCTGCAGAAGCCTGTTATGGTAGGTGGGTTCTAAAGCAGAAGTCACAGGACTTCTGTTTGCAGAGAAGTGTGTGAACTAGACTGTTTAACAGCTATCAAACAATTGTTTGCTCTCCTACATGTTGAACAAGAATGTGAAGTTGAACCTGCCATGAAGTTCCTTTCTGTACCACCTTGTAGAAAAGATCCATGTCCTATTCATTGGAGATCCATTCCCATGAATAGGTGGCCATATGTATTATGTGTGTACTTAGTGCCCTAGTCAGATTAGATCAGGGCTCTTTAGCAATCTTCTTTATTTTTTCCTCTGGCACCTCCTTTTTTCCTATTTCAAATTTCTCTCACTGATTATATGGTACTTTTTAATAGCTGTCTCTTGGGGTGAAGCTACGAGAGCTTTGTCCTCCAAGACACATGCACCAGGAGGAGAAAGAAAGCAACTACTGAAATAGAGAGTGATCAATTCATCTTTCCAGCCCTTTCCATCATTGATATAAGTCTAGTGCTTAACCCTTTGTTGCTGAGTAACAATGTTCCATGAACTATTACCACTGTACAACAGAAAATATGATTGGGATCCAAGTATCTATATCTATAATCAAATATTCCAGTAGCAAAAATAGTACATACAGTATTTTTCATTTTCTTCCAAGAGAAAAAAAATACTAAATTGATATTATCCAGTTCTAGAAATGATTACAGTGTTAATCTTGCAACAAAACACACAGGTTCATAAAGCAAAGACTGACAGCTTATACAAAGTTAACATGTGTGGGTAAGGTTGCTTGGAACTGGAATAGTAACTATTAACAGTTTTTGTGGCATTCAGGGATGAGAAACTGTCCTTGACTAACCAGGTACAGCGATCACCAAACAGTATGGGAAAGCCATGACATAGGGGAAGTTACAAGTTCATTATTAGACATACAATATTTCCAGGAATTTTGAAACCATAATTTGGAAAAACAAAAGGCAGAAAATCCCTCAATGGACAAGTTCTTTGGCTGATCTGAGTCAGCATTCTTTGGGATCAAACCGATTGTGAGGATAGCTGAATTAGCTAAGACAGAAAAGCAGCATGATCCTGCTTCCTGCAAAACATTCTAGTAAAAGAGGCCCATTCTTTTCCCATATGAGTCTTGTTATTGAATAGAATTTGCTCTTTCTTATATGCTACATGGTTAGCTATTCTAACTAGGCTTTTGTAGGAGATGCCTTCAAAGACCTCAGTGTACAGAAGATCGTGAATTTGAATAGAAAAGCTCTGCTAATTCTATTTTGGAGGACCAATAAAATTTACCCAGTGAGTTAGCAACCTATTATATTTGCACAGGAAGTTACCAACACATCTTATATTCTCAAAGCTGTCAAACCCTAACCTTATTAAATGTGTGGTTCCAGGCAGGTATTTTTGTCGCTTGGTTTCTCCCTTAACTAGTCAGGCTAGTACCTTACATTATTTTCACACATCAACCTATCTTTGAAACTCATTTGCGAGAGACATTTAAACGCAGCATTTCAGCTGACTGCAGGTTCAATATCAGGATCAGTGATGTGACATAAATTTACATAAGGGACTACATATCATGACACCGTCTTAATGGGATTTTAATGTGCAACATTAACACTCTTTATAATAGAATTTTAAATACAGCCTCGGTATAAGATATGCTGACAGAACAGCTTCCGCATATGACTTTGCTTGGTCAGCTGTTCTCCACTATGCAACACCCCCTTCTTCCCCCAATGTCTTTAGGAACAGCTGTAGCAAAGAGCGATTTTAAAAGATGTAATGTTCCTTTCAGTGAAAACATCTCACAACTTTCTCAATCTGTTCTTATACTATAGCAACTGTCCAGCATCCTGGTAATACAGAAAAGTATTCATCCTAGTCCTGCAAAAGCAATCAGGTGGTGCGAAGAAAGGACCAGTGCTTGATACAGGTCACTTGGGTCAGAAAGACTACATAATCCATGGTTCAGGAAGCTGGTACTGGGTCAGTCCAGCAGATCAATCATATATTGATGCAAATAGGCCTAAATGTCACATCCCTACAAGAGAATCATATACTTAAGAATATAGAGGAGTGCCTACGATACAGTAAGAAAATTAGTCCTACCATTATTTTAGCTAATATGCCATCATCACTTGATTCCATGGTAACCACAGCTTTATCTGTTTCAATTTCACACAAAGCATCTCCAACATTCACTGTTTCTCCTATAAAATGAAACAATAATTCAACATTTTGATCATTTACTTAAGTGTATCAAGAATAACAGTATTATAAAGCTAACACATAGTTAACAGGTTTAGAAACTGCATACTTTCAATACCATTTTCAATACATGTATTAAATAATTGGACGTTAATGGAATTTTAATAATATAAAGTGTGCAATAAAAGCATTTGCAGAGTGTATTTCAAGTCTGTACAGACATCAGTTTAAATGATGTCCACTCACAATGCCATCAGCACCAGGTTCCCTATCTGAGGGAAGGGGCAGGATTAGCTGCAACGTAAATAAAATCTCCATCCTGAACACAGTTTAGACACTCTTGCATTAAGTGCTGAGGGCTAGCCACTCTTGCTACTGGCAGTTACAGCTTTAGTTATCCTAAGGTTTCCCATTTTATGGATTCCAAAGAAGAATAAAATAAAGTAATAAGTAGGAGGGAGTAAGACAAAAAGGACAGGTTTATGAAGTGAAGCGTGCTGGAAGTTGTAATCCTTTCTTCTGTCTAAATTTGCATAACATTGTGCTTTATGAAAGACAGTGGCATGGAAAGGAGAAGGAGATAGAACTTTCTGGGCTTAAAAATAAAAGAAGCATAATAAGGGAAAAGAGGTGTTATAGATCACTAGCGTATTCAGAAGCAGACCCATTAAAGACAGAGGCATCAAGAAGGATTTAAGAAGCCATTACAACAAAAAAGTAGGAAGAAAAAAAATCAAGTCCATATAAATATACAGAAGGAGAGGAGGACGAGGACACAAAGAAGAAAGGGAGAGATGAGAGGAAGGCACCACTGTAGAAACATGGATAATATACTCAAAGAGAGGACACCAAAATTATCAAGCTTTTACTTGCCTGGTCTTAAAATGAATGGCCAGTAAAAATACAAAGTACCTGCAAAAAGTGACCATACAGCATGAGGACACAATTTCTAAGAGGTGGGCTACCACCATGTGTCCGTGTGGGATATCAGGGAACCATAATCCAGTGATCGGTAAGATTCGCTTTACATGGTAATTGTTTTCAGTTTAAGCATACATTTCCAATTGGCATCTGCATCAAAATATCCTTTATAGAGAAGCACTCCTACCCTGCCTCTTCAGCCACCCATAAAAAGATGAGAACAAATTTGAGAAGCAATTCTACAAGCTCAGCTCTTCTCACAATCTCCTCATCTTAAATGTATAATTCTGTTAAAAATGTACCTTACATTAAAAAAATGAATATTTGTACACGTCAAAAGATTTCTACATGCAATACTATCCTCAAAATGGAATAATTTTAAGTAGCATTTTCTTCTTAATTCAAGAATATACACACATCTGGTTCCTTGTGATAACAGTCTTATGAATTCAGACTCTTTGTTAATGGAAGACCTGCTGGATGCCTGCCATTAAAATTGGATTATAGTCAGAACTTGGAGACACCCCTGAACAGATCCAAGGCCTGAAATAAATGTTCTCCGGTGCTGAAGTAACAATGGCTTGTCTATATAACAAGTTGGTATGCAATGAAGTTTTCAAAGAATTATGAAAAGGCCTGAACAGTCATGCCTAAAAAGAAAAAAAAAACCAAAACCCTGACTCGTCTAAGCCCTAAATTGGATTTGTCTTTGCTTTCCTTACAAAAAAATTAAATCCTGAGCAATCATGGTGCCAGCATGTAACTCTGTCACTGACATGAGCCACTCTTCATTGTCTTTTTAGTCCTCTATTATGTTTATGAAAAAATAGGACTGAAAATATTGGAAGCTTTACAACTCAAGTTGTGAGTAGTCACACACAAGCTTCTTTCAAATCAATACTAGTCTCTGGGAATATTTTGCTCCAACAAACAAAAATGCCTATAACAAATGTTCTCTTTATTTTAATTGTCAATTGGGCTACTTTAAAATATCATGCAGAACAGGACAAGAAGAAGAAGAAAAAACAGAGGCCTTACTTCAGATGATTAATCCAGTACATTAGCCTTGTGTATCACATTCTGTTTATTCCGAATGTTAATGTTCCACAGAACAGATACAAACAAATATATGCATAGGGGCAACTTCCATGAACATAAAAAGAAAGATGTTGGCTCAGAGCAAGGGTCCACCTACTCCAGCATTCTGCTCACACAGTGGCACAACAATTGGCCAAAGAAAGCACAAAGGAAAACATGAGTACAACAGCATCTGGCTTCCAAGATTAGGCAGGATCAGGTATTTCAAGCTATACTGTAAGGTGTATCAGATAAAAGAAATCTTCCAGATTCAAATGGATATCAAGGTAGATTTATACTAGTGAGTTCAAAGGATCCACCTCAAAATATCTACTGAATAACTTGTATTTAACTATTTGCCAGATACAGGAACAAATGTGCATATGTGCATTCTATTTTGCAACATCCAAGGGCTAATGATTCCCTTATTCTGGACAATCTTAAAAAAAAGGGAACTAGCAGGCTTAAGACTATCCAAAAAGAGTGGAAATACCAGTTTTTGGAAAGGGCAAGTCAGCAGAGCTTGCAGAATGAAACACTGAACTGTCCCTACGGTTGCTTTTCAAACCACTAGTTTCCAGTTGTATGAGTGGTGGATCAGGAAATTGACTTGAGAGGGAGCACTGCAGAAGACTTAGTACTTCCAGAGTTCAGACTATAATTTTGTCATTTTACTTATATATTACATTTGTATACCGCCCCTTAGCCAGACAGGCTCTCTGGGTAGTTCACAAATTTAAAACATAAGATAAAAATAACAGTATAATAATAAAAACAAGAACAACTAATAAACTACAATACAAAAAACCTGAGACAACTAGGCAAATTGGTACACACACACACAGCAGTGGCATCTAAAAAAACCCTATTAAAACTCAACTGTAACTATTAAAATGCCTGAAAAATAAAAAGGTTTTCACTGGGCTTCAAAAGGAAAAAAGAGTAGGGTCACAGGAATCTCTCAGGGAAACTTATTCCAGAGGTAGGATTCCATGACTGAGAAAGCCCTTCTCATTGTTACCTTCCCCTTACTTCCCTAGTAGGCAGTCCTTCAGAAGGATCCCAGAGGATAATCTTAAGGCTCAGGTAGGAAAACGTGTTCCTTCAAATAACCTGGCCTCAAGCCATTCAGGGCTTTAAATGTTACTTCAAGCAGTTCAAATTGGCCCCAGACTTCAACCGGCAGCCAGTGCAGCAGAAAGAGGACTGGCATAATATGATTTCATGGGCCAACTCTTGACAACAGCCATGCTGTCCTATTCTGAATCAGCTGAAGCTTCTAGACCACTTTCAAAGGCAGCTCCATGTAGAGCACATTACAGTAATCCAAACAAGGGTAATAGAGCATGGATAACTATGATGCCCATCCAGATAGAGTTGTAGTTGGTAAATCAGCCTAAGCTGCTAGCTTAGGCTGATTTACAACTGAATCCACTTGAGACTCGAGTGACAATCCCTGATCCAGGAGCACCTCCAACCTACCTGTCCTTTAGGGGGAGTGTACCCCCATCCAGGAGAGTTGAATATCTCCCAACTGGATAGACAACCCACCCCCTAGCAGCATCTCCATCTTGTCTGGACTGAGTTTCAGTTTTTGGTCCTCATCCATTCCATTACCAAGTCCAGACATTGATTCATAAAACAGCCACTGCCTCACCTGCGTTTAATGAAAAAGTGTCATCTGTATATTGAGGGCATCTCAGCTCACACGAGGGCTCAGCAGTTTCATGTAGATGTTAAACAGCATGCGGGACAGAACTTCGTGGCAAAGTTGACATGGCACAAAGCATTAATTCCCCAGCACCACCTTCTGGAATTGGGCAGTCAGGTAGGAATGGAATTAATACACTGCAGTAACTCCTGACCCAACCAGCCTATCCTATCCAGAAACCAATCACGCCTTCTTTAAAAACATAACTGGATCTTTAAGGAGGTTCTGAGTAAGAAAAGCATGGAATTTGAAGTTCCCAGTATGCCTTAATAAAGAGCAGTAATTTTTAGGCAAAAAGAATCATAAGAACAGTAAATGATGAATGATGACACAAAATATAATTTCATGAAAGTTAGTCACAAATATGGATTTTCTTTAAAAAATTAAGCCTTTCCTAATTTAGAGACGGCACTAGGGAATCAATACAATTTTTCAAGAAGTCATTAACACCAAAGATAGAATGTTATTAAATTATTAACCTTGGAATACTTTATAGACTACTAAAAGATCAAAGAACTCATGATGAAGAACTCTGAAAGCCATGTCAGATTTTATTCATCCATTCATTCAAGGAGCATCTCTTCCTGCCAACTGACACATGGTCTACACAGTGAAAGGCATTAAGAGGGACTGAGGTAGTAAGGTTCTGAGGCTGAACAGACTAAACCATTTCAGTAGGGAGGCAGAATGACAAATTTCTTAATGCTTCTTTACATACAAAAGCCCTCAAGCAGTATCCAATATTGTCCATATGCTAATGAGATCCACAACTGGAAATAAGCAGAACACTTATTTCCAGAATGGGAAAGGGCAGCAGTCACAGAAAGGTGCTTCTACTGACCTGCCCATTCCTGAGGTTCATTCAGGAAGCACTAGGTCCTCTTATTCCCATGAAGGATGCCTCACTTGCAACACAGTAAGTGGAGTCAGAGCAGCAGCATTAGATGCTGTGCTCTCTAAATAAAAACCAGAAAACAACACACTAGCACAGCAAGAAGCAGGCTCTAATATAACCCTCTCCTTGCCATGCAATGATTCCACTACATTTACCAGGAGATAATTACAGGAGAGCTTTCAAAATTGACTTACTATCACCTATCTGTCTTGTTTCGGATATCAGAATTTAGTGAGTTTTGCAGACAGCCATGGAATAAAGTCAATTAGAAATTCATGTTGAACAAATGTGCCCACAAGAAGCCTTTGCCAGAAATGGTCTGAAGGAGATCCAACATGAGTTGCAATTGTGGCAGCTCAAGGCTTTATTGCATTTTATATCAACCAATGCGTACACTTTACTCAGGAAATATCTGAAGTACAAATGGAAAGCGTGATTCCAGTTTTTCGCAGTTTGAATCTTCTTGATTTATACTGCAACTTCAAATCGTACAATTACATTTTATGTTTAACTATTTATCCTACTGCACCAGTCAAAGATCATTTGTTACTGACTGCCTTATAAATAAATAATAAATCACAGATGCCACTGAATAAGTTATACTATGAACAGATGCCACTGAACAGGTTAAAATATGCACTATTATAGTGTATTGATGATGCAGTGCATGCTAAAACCAAAGTCACGGCAATCCTAATGGTGTGGCAGTGTGGTGCAATCTGGGGGAGGAGGTGGTAGCAGAAGACCATCATGAAGTTCCCAGGGCTCAAGAGCAGCATTCAAATTACTCATAATCACCTTCCTTTTTCAGCCATTTAACTATATTTCCTTCTTCCATTGTAGGTGACAGTGCAGGCATGAGGATTTTAACAGCAGGGGTACCTTGGGAGGAAAGAAAAAAATTAACGTTAGTATTTTTCCATTTTACCAGCTAAAAATACAGTAAATCCTGAAACATGCTTATACAAATGGAGGCTTCACTGATCTCCACTGAAATTACTTCAGAATCGTCACACATAGGATGATTTTGCATCAAGTTCACATAGCTAGAATGCTGACCAAATTACATACTTGCAGTGAGTTGTACCTGGTGTCTGCTACAAGCACAACTTGTATTTGTGCTCCTACAGAAATTACCATAGAGAGTTGAGTGATGGCACAGGTAAACATCAGCAGAAATTAAAGATTGCTCAAACTTGCAGGCCACAAGCTCATATATAATTAACCCAACCCAGTTTGGGCTAATTAACTGTATTTTGCCATACCCTAAAATCTATTTAAGGCTTTATGCATTTTACATCAACTATTTCGTGGATAACTAATGAGATAAACATGATGTTCAAAGGGATGCACAAATGCGAATGCTTTCCTCATAATGATTCTCTGTAGTTCCCTTTCTCAAAACTCTCTACTGTTCCATTTGAAATGCGCATGGATAACATATACAAAAGAACAATGCCAAACAAATATGGTGAGGAAACTGAATGTTGCTGATGAGAAACCATTTCATATTATAATAGAAGTGTTTTACGTATTCTCAAAGCCAGTTTTGGAATCCACTCTAACTTCATTTCTACACAGAACATATTTGCATTTTATATTTAACCCAGCCTGTCAATAATATCAGTAAGCCATTGTGAACAGCAAAACATTTCCATGGGATTTTGGTGGCTTGTGAACCTGACCTGACTGTGAAATAATTTACTGATGTTGCAACATCATTTTCAAAGAAATTCATTATACGTTAAGCAAGAAAGGTAGGCTAAGATGAAGTTGCAAAATTAGAGCATGTTGTGAAATATGTTTTCGTAAAAAATAGCAGCACAACACCGCCAAATACCAGGGTCATGCTCTGAACCAGGGTCAAGCTCTGAACACAGGCTTCTATTAGTCCAAGAGTTCATACAGCCTTATCTAGCATGCAAAAAACAAAGGACTGCTTGAAGTTTACTTTAGTATTCATTCCATTACTCTTAGCATCCCTGAGCACCATTTTTGCTTGAAAGTAGAGTATCAATCAATCAAATCATTTTCCAAATCTTTTGCATATGCAGACAAGCAATGTCTAAGAACACAGGCTTTAGGACATTCCAAACAGCCTTTAAAGTACATTTGGCTTACCCCATAATGCATGCTGTGAAGAAACTATTTTAATACATAAAATATACAGTCTGACACAATTATATTATACACCTTACATTTCCACAGCAAGATCATAAAATGCATGTATCTTGTATTCAGGATGGCTTTGCCATCTCCCTTTAGAGAGAAACTAGGCCTTCAGGGAGGTCTATTTCTTCCATCAAAAAGCTTTATAATATCTCAAGACAGAGTGATTTAAGACAGAGAGAAAAAAACCAAGTAGCGTGGTCATTAAATCATTTCATAATTATGCAACTCATATTAGTTTGCTGCTATTGCATTTAAAATATGCTACCTCAGCCTTGTAAATAATCCTCAATGGTTATTAGCTTGATTTTTTATTTTCGTAGCCTGTCACAGAAGGCAGGAAACCCAGCCAATATAAAGAACATAAAGAAATTAAACTTTAAAGAACATAAATTCCTTTAAAACACTTTTTACAAAGCATATTGGTGGAAAGGAGGCAGACCTGAGGAACAGGTTTCCTTTTTCCACACCATCATGCAAACCAAACAGACTAGTGGAGAAGGACATACAGAGATAACCATCCTACCTATAGCATTCCTTTACCTATGGCAATCAGGCAAGTTCTTAAGTGCAAGGTTGTGCTGGCTTACAAGCAGAACAAACCCTGTTTACAACCTACAAGTGTAAATTAAAGCTGTTGGTCTTGCAGGCTTGGATGCAAAGATCTCTTTCCACCAGTGGAAGGCCTCTTCCCTTCTCAGAAGAGCCATTTTTGAAGAGCACTGAATGTGAAAAACTGAATATAATTTCAGGAAAGGTTTTCCACTTTGCATAAGTCTTTGTATATAATTTTCAAGACTCGTTAATAGCCACCATAGAGTTAGTACACCACAGGCTGCTCATCATTCATGTTTATTCATCAAGTTCTTGTAACTAAAAGCTACTCCTAATGCATTGTGGTGCTATGCTGACAAAAGGCCTAGCTTATGGAAGGAATCACAGAACTGCACTGGTACTTCAGCTCACAGCTATTTGGAACATAGCCACTGTCCACAAGCCTTTTGCACTACAGGTTGATCTGCTTAGAGAAAGCAGGAACAATCAACTCTGGGAATGCACACTAAGCTCACTGAAGGCAAAATGCCTACAGCTTCTCAGAAGCAGGAACTGATAGTTACTGAACAATAATGTGTTGCTTCACAAAACCAGTAATGGAACAATATTGCCAAAGCTAAACCTAGCTCCATTCAAAATCAAATGAACTTACAACTGCTTAACTTTTTAGGTTGTGCCCTTAATGCTTAGTCTGATAATAAATGAATATCCGTAACTTACCATATTGCTACAAATAATTGTAATGCTTGAACTCAAAAGTCAAATACTCCCACATGGTTATCACTTCTGCATGGAAAAACAGATTCTGACTCGTGCTGTGTACAGTCCTACGCATAGTTCCTTGGAAATAAGTCCCACTAATTTCAGTTGAACTTCTTCTTAGTGGATTTTCCCAACCATGTACCCTCCAGATGTGTTAGACAACAACTTTCCCAGCCTATGACCATGTCGGAAAGGGTGGGAACTGTAATCCAAAACAACCAGAGAGCTCCATGTTGTGGTACGCTGTTTTATAGATTGTAATCCCATACACATATATTTGGAAGTAAATCCTACAGAAATCAGTGGTATTTATTTCTAAGTGAACATCCACGTGTTTGGGTGGTTAATGTTTAAATTTTGTTTTAACTGAAGAACTACATCTCAGAGCAAAGGCCCAACAATGCTTTCATTTGCCAACCTCACTATATGCAACCATATGATACCATCTAGTAACGCAAACAGATCCATCTTAAATTTTCTATTGAGTTTATTTATTCTACTGTGTTCTATTTATTCATTTCTGTTTTGACTCTGTCAGCTGTCACTTGTACACCTGCTAGAAGCCAGGCCTATAGTACTGCATGAACAACAATAGAACATATGACTCTATGGTTATCAGCATGGAAAATCCAAAATCAGGGTCAATTCCAAGATTTTTAGGTTGACTTATACATACTTGACTTTATGTAGGTATAACATATGCAGGTGTTAAACCTGCATACAACTATCTGTAGATGAAGGAGAACAGTTTTCTTCCCTCGTTACGCATATAAACATAACTGAAAATATACAGCCAAAGCCCAGATTAGCCCACTGGTTCTAGAATGCAATTCTGTAGCTACTTACTTAAGCAGCAAGTCCCTGAATGCAATGTATAGGATTTCAATGCTGGTCTAATATGGTTTCCTCCAGCAGTAATAAGCTCTTCCAAGTGCCAGCAAGGCCTCTCTCAGCTCTGTTGAGCTCCAAATTTTTTATGGCTGCCAAGAAGCAATTGCTTCCACTTGTTCAAAATGCAGCAATTAATGTTTTCAGGATGTTAATTCAGTTTGCAAATATCTGAACTAAGTTTGCAAGAAAATGGCATGTTATTGTAAAATATAAAATCATTTCATTGGTGAAGCTTCTTCAAAGCTGCTTTCCTCAGAGGAAAGGCATCAGAGATCTTTTTAAAAGGACAATTTTTCTGAAAGAGATTGGGACACTAACATGTAGAAGTACAAAAGGAATGCTGGTAGGCTGTGCCGAAATGAAATGGTTCCAAATTAGATGAAATGCATTTTTGAAAGAGAAAAATATTATGCAGTACCTATAGATCCTCAGGTATTTAACTAAATGTTTATATTTCCTATTAATCATGCTGAAATCCCTGATGTCTAGACTAGTAGAGCTTACAAATGCAATCCTGTGCATATTTAGACAAAAAGAGTCCTACATTGCTGAGCAGTAAAGCTAAACATGCATAGGATTGTGAACTGAAGTGATACAGATGTGAAGCATGCTTACATACTACTCCATGAATGTTCCAGCAGCTTCAATGGCACAGTGGTCAACTAAAAACTGGAAATCCATGATTTCAAAACTTGTCTCTGAAACAGTGATAATAATATTGGTCAACCTTGTTGAATTCCTGTATGGATTTTTACTATGTTGCTAAGCAGTATTAATTAAATTATTATTCCTTGTGTCTGATTAACAGAACTACCTTCTGTTAAACTAGGTAAAGTTCTTACCTACACAAGGTGCTAAAATTATGTTTAAACAACTTATTCATTAGCTATTATACATCTGTTTATGTGACAACATTTTCATCTGGGTGACAGATACAGGTACATGACTTAAGAGACTTTAAGCACAATACCCAATTATACATCACATTAGACTGAAAAGTGCTTCGCATGCACCCCTAGAATCTCATTTAATTCAGGACTAAATTTGCATAATTCATTTGTCTGGGACCCTACATTATAGTGCATACAAAACTAATCTAAAAGGGTATTGTGTGAAATATTGACTGCCATTAAGTGGAATTCATGATATAGTGTTTTGGTATATTTGGCCAGGCCTAGGGAATCTAAGGAAAAGATCACATCACACCATTCTTCCAGTCAGGGGTGGGTTTTTTCCCCACTATGGGGGCAGGAGAAAATTGAAAAACTGGAAAAATTGAAATTATGAAATATTTACATTCATATATTTTTTCCTGGTCTTTACTTCCCCAAAGTGATATCTGCATAATGGAAAGATTGCATTTATATTTATAAATTTCCTCCCAAGGAACTCAAGGCAGCTTATATGTTCTTCCTCTACCCTAAATCTTTTCCTCAGAAAGGCAACCCTTTGAGGTAGGTTGAACTCAGGGCCTGTGACTGGCCCATAGTCACACAGTAAGCTGC